CGTTTCGATGATTTAGGGAACTGAACCACCGGTTTAATCATAATGGGGGAGGGTTATTAATGCGAAATCAGACTAAGGCAAATCGTAGAAAGAGGGCAGCAGCCCTTTCAGTACTCAGGATAGCAGAGATTAGGAGGGTCGGTATAGCACTCTGATGCACAAAATTACCATTATAGAAGGCAACGGGAAATCATCATTATTATGATATCCCGAGTACAACAAACCGAAACTTAAATGATGACGCCCATTAGGGTAAAGCGCTTTGGATCTACTCGGGGATGTCATTAAGTGCAGTAGGGGAAGATGCAATATTTCACGAGTCGGAGCGTGGATTATTAACAACGAGGCAAGCAGAGAAGTTAGAGGATATGGAATGTTTTTGTTTTAGGCAAATATGAAGATTAGTTCAGGATAGGAAAAAGTGGAGCGGCGTGTCTAATTTTTTGTAGGACTGACGACTTTATGATAATGAAAAAGAACACTGAAATTATTATTTATTAGTAAATCGCATCGTTGCTAGAGAAGGTTATAAATGAAGAGGTATTAGAAAGAATAGGAGAACAGAGGACTCTATGGAAGTCAATATGAAATAGGCAAGATAGGTTGGTAAGACACCTTCTTAGGCATGAAGGTCTAGTAAGAGACATATTATAGGCAGAAACAGGAGTTAAGAGGACTAGAGGTAGACCTAGATTAGATTACTGTTCGCAAATAGTTAAGGATGTGGGATGTTTTAGTTTTGGGTAAATGCGAAAATTAGGTCATGATAAAATAGTAGTAAAGTATTTTTACTCATTATCAAAGTTTTATTGACGTGACTACGTCTTATAATTCGATGGAGCCGACTGCACGCACGAAAAAACATGACGCTCTGATGCGTTCCATTTAAGTGCAAGCGAGAGCGCGGAACGAGCGACAAAGAGGCACAATCGGCCTCCGCGTTCGGCAGCGTTCGACATCTGTCTCTCTCCTACTTGAGTGAGCGATGCGTCCGCGTGGACAGCTGCTATACAATAATACATTTCCATTTACCTCCTTCTCTATATCCATACAAAATATCTATCAAACAAATAAAATTAAAATTTTCTTTTGAAAAATGAAACCATTCCATCAGTATTTTCTTATGACGTTGTCACGTTCAACATTCGTAACAATAATAATAAAGGCAGGGTAAACTCTACGATAAAACTTGATCAAGATCAAGGAAAGTATAAGAAACAACGGAATTTTGCAAATGAAGTTGTTAACCCTGTTTTCTTTAGAATTTGAATTCAATTAAATGTGGAATTAGTTAGATATACTCAATTATTTCTTAGTTTCTATGAATCTATAACAGTAGAGAAATTTTCCTTTTATCACTTCCATTCAGGATAAAATTATGTATGTAGTATTGCTTTTACTTTTAATCTTATCTATGTATATATTAAGTATCCTAAAGCTCTAACATTAATCCTTTTTTTCACTCATTTGCAAATCTTGATTAATATATGGACTTTTTTACATAAAATTCTTGCACGAGATATTTATCTGTTTTTTAATATTAACATATGTAGAAAGTAGTAACCGGTAGAGTAAAAATGTTTTTAATTGCTTTTTTAAGAAGTGGTAACCTGTAAAGAAAAAATGTTTTTAATTGCTTGTATAAGAAGTGGTAATGTATAAAGAAAAAATGTTTTTAATTACTCGTTTGCAGTGTTACGCATGTATTAGTCGGTACGAACGGGGAATTTCAATCAATCATTGCATATTACGCATGTTTCGTAAAAGTGCATTTGAAAGTCAAGTTTTGGCCAGACCATGGAAGTTTTCACTGGGTAATGAAGAAATTGTAACAGTGAAGAAAGTGCATGTTTGATGTTGATATATCCGGCTTACATTAAATAAGGGTTGTGCAAGGCAAATTTCAACATAGATCTAAATCTACTGCTTAGTGGAATACGAAACAATATATGATTTACTATCCATAAGTTATTTTGAATCAGTAATTGTTAATTTACTTGTGTGGATCTACCATTAATTTCCTTAAAACTTTAACGTTTATCATTAAATATACCTTAATGTGGGTGAACCAAATGGTAAAACAGTCGGGTATTTAACAGTTATAGATTCGGTCTAGGGGTCTTACTATAGCCCCAAAAATACTTTGCGAACCCACTACAATCGTTAATCATGATAATCCTTAACGATTCTAAATCTAAAATTTGTAATCAATCAACTCTTCCACTAAATGTATAATTTTATAATCCTTTAAACCTCTAACCCTAAACAATTTTGATCCTATCCCTAGATTTCCGTAAAATCCTGAAGCAGTATCGCTCAATCTCTCACCGCAGAACTATTCGGGGAGTATATTTTCAAAAACAAAAACAGAATATCCTCATGATTCTCAAGGATGTTGTATACTTCCGGGTAACATTTGTAGGAACGTCTATATTGGCATTACTCAATGTACACCGCGGGAAGGTAACCATAATGTTGTGAAATGTACGTTACGAACAGTTTCATGGTAAGAGATTAAGCAACAACTATTGTTTCAGTATTTTGATTACGTGGATATAGGGTTATGGGGTCATAAGGTTTAAAGGCTAGGGGTTTAAAGATTTATGAAGTTGCTTGGCAACGGATTTTAAGTTTGAAATCGTTTGGGATTATCACAGTTAACGGTTTTAATGGGTTTTGATAAAGCTTTTTTTTGTGTGGCTGTGCTACCGTTTTCAATTAGTAGGTTGCATGGAAAGATGGGTTCAAGATAGGAAGAGGTGTGTGTCCAACCATTTGTCGGACTATAGACTAATATGATGATGACTCGATAATATTTGGGGCATCAGTTCTAAAGATTACAGAATTGTTTGGAGCCAAAAAACGATTCTGTTTGGATACTTAGCAAAAGTGATTTTGATTATTGATTACATCATTCAAAAGGTTACCACTGAGCTCCTTGACAATGACCCTGTTTTAAAAGTTACAAAACTCACAAACATGTTTCATGGTGAGAGATTAAGCAAAACTGTTTCAGTATTTTGATGTGGGGTCATGGTGTCATAAGGTTGTAGAGTTGGGAGTTTAAAGGACTATCAAGTGATATATTTAGAGGAAGAGGTGATTGGTTATGGGTTTTAGGTTTAAAATCGCTTGCAATTTTCATGATTAACGATTTTAGTGAGTTTTGAAGTGTTTTTGGAGGTTATGTCCAAACTCTGACATTCTGGGGTTAAATCGATTTGGATTCAGCGACCCCAAAAGCATACAATGTAAACAGACAGACCACAGGCCAATTTTTTTGTGTGGCTGTGTTATGTTTAATTGGTTAAAAGAAAAATATACTGATACTTAATTTTAAATAAGATTACACACTATTATTAATTCAATAGTTGTCTTCTCCAAAGTGGAGTTTTCCACACGGGCATTTTCATAAATTAATATTATAATAGTTTACCTACTTTTGTCATTATGTATGTCCCAAAACATGATGAAATTCAGTCTGTTACTTAATTGTATAATTAATTATTAGTTCTCATTTACCATTTTGTTAATATGACCAGTGTTTATAATATTATGTATGTTAAGATTTGAATTTACTGTCCAGGAGTAGGATTTTGTTTAGAGGCGCATCCAATTTTATTTTTAAATTCATATACAACTTAATACTAAACTATGTTTATGTAATATTGCAAAGCAAAAATACACTTTCCAACGCATATTTGTGTAAATGTATGTATACGTGTCGTCTGGTCTCGCGGAAAAAAACGAATTCCGTCAACAAACCTACATCCATGCGTACATATAAATTATACTGATATATATATATATATATGGTTGTGCCATGNCAATTCCACCCGCAACGCTGCACTCAATCAGCAGGCGATTACCACTATCAGCAGCATTTGCTTAGTATCTTTTTGCTCATGTAGTGTTTATTTGTCAGGTGTGAATCAGGGTGTTTATGTTAACAGTCAATCTCTTTCGTTCTTTTAACGTTTAAACCTTGTATGAGGCAATTCAATAAACTAATTCAGCAATACAACATCAATCATTGGCGTAGGTCAGAGTGACAATAATGTGACATGATAAGGGTTTCAACCATATCGCCGCTGTAGGGACGAAGACATCGATTTCAAAGAAGACAATCTCCAAAATAGTACACGCGAAATAGCAGAGAACGTTGATTCCTTTCGTATGATTGTTAGGCAAATTGTAAAGGACCAGTTGCTGCATCCTTATAATTTGCAGCGAGTACAAACCTTACTTGAAGCTGATTTTCAGCCATGAGTGGATTTGTGTTGGTGGTTTCGGACGAAACATGCTGCATAGCCAATTTTTGTTCTGTAGGATGTTGTTTACAGGCGAGTTTGCTTTACGCGGAACGGAATTTTGAGTGTTTATAGTAATCACTATTGGAGCGACGTAAATTCGCATGTCGTAGACTCTTAGCATTTGACTTTTTTGGAAAGTTTATTTAAAACCACCAGCAAAAGGGTAACTCGTCTTGGCAAAACCTCAATTGTGGTGTGGAAATCTGCCTTAATAAAATTACAATTGTGATTCCCATTTACCGATTAACACTTTTATTTCCTTTGTGTTCATGCATTTACGTAGTACTGAACTAAATTGTTTATGCTTATTTTAGACTTTCGATAATCGCAAAGTTTACATTTTCCATCCAAGTATTTGCAGAGTTTTTATTACATTACGAGCTTCGGTAGACACCTATGTGGCCAATTCACGCACAGGGCCGGCTTCGAATTGTAAATTATTGCGATTTTCTTAAAAAAAAATGTTTATTGCATCTAGTTTACACCCTTCAAAGCTTGGCACTTATTTCTTTTATACCCTGTATTTCGCGCGTTTTAATATTCTCCGAAGGTTGCTTGGAAATTGTCCTCCAACATTATAAATGAATTAAAAAAGTGTAATACAATTGTCATCGATTTAATTTTATCTCAAAATTGTGTAAAATGGGCAGTGAAGCTATAAGGTTAATTAAATCTTTTTGTTTTTAGTGTACGAGTGAGGCTTCACGTTCCAAAACATATAAAAACGATATACAAGACGAAAATAATCAAAGTTCCGGAGCACCATCACTACATTCACCATGAGAAAAAAGAAGAAGCGTTCGAGCCCTTGAAGATTCCACAATATCATCATTTCTTCCACGACGAAAACGAAAAGATTAAGCAAAAGCACCGATACAATCATCGTCACGACGAAAGCGATGAAGATGATAACAAAAAACTCACATTGGAGGAAGTAAGACTGATCTTAGAAAATGCCGGTAGATTAGCACGGTACAACAACTACAAACGTTACCACATAGATCCGAACAAAAAATGATGGGTCTCGCATTCGTTGCTTTAAAAAGAAACATTTGTTGATTGTTGTTTTTATTTTTTTTACGTTAAAATAATAATTTATTAAGATAGTACGTGTTTTTATTTCAATCTTTTCTGTCTTTTTATTATTCTATTGAATCGGAAATGAATGAAAGATTCTGAGAACTGAATAGGCACTCACTTATTAAAATTTAGGCATAAATTTTTTAAATATCAAATCGTTAGTACCAATGTTTATTAATTGGTTTGTATTTTTTATTGTAAATCATCATCCTCATCATCATTATCATAGGGTCGTCAGCCTGATGACTGGACAAGCACCTTTCCTGTTTCCTATGTCGAGCCATTCTTCGTATTTCCCTAAAACTATAACGTCACACATCTCTATTTGTGAGTAGTGACCTAATCACTGCCTTCGGTTACTCCTGTTTCCGCCTGTAATACAAAGCGTAAACCTGCCGAATGTGAGACCTCTCTTTAATACGAGACCTTTGAGTTTCTTCCAAAGAATGTACTATAACCTACTAATAAAAACCTACTGGAATTAGATCCCTGTATCGGAATAGTATCATAGGGAAGTTGACTGTGAATGAAATCGTTATTTGACATAACCGATTGTTATCATGGAATTCTGCAGAGTTCGGTATACCTTTTTGAGATCGAAAATACTATATTTTTCTTTACATAAATTAGCAAGTTGTCTAAACGTTTAGAGCAGGGGTGGCCAACTTTTCTGTCATAGGCGTAGTCTAAGGGGGAAGAAGGGGTGTGAAATACACACTATTTTATACACTGTGTTTCAATATAAAGGGCATTCCAGCGAGGTACGGGTAGATAAATAAAATAATTGTTCAAAACTATTTTTTATTTTTTAAATCACTTATTAAGTTTTCGAGATATAGGCGTATGAAGAAAATAAATTTCCAGACCTAACTTTTAATGCGTTGCCTAAAAAATTCGATTTTTCGACAGTTTTTAAAAATAGATTTTCACTAACTTAAAATGCAATTAAATTTTGTTATCAATTGCAATGTATAAGTTGTTGTATTATTTGTTTGAAAATATGACAAAGTTGTTATAAAAACGCACAGTCTAGGCTGATATTACTAGAATGTTTTGTCTTCTACAATCGCTTCAAAGTCTATGGTACATGGAATTCTTCCCTAGACATTGCGAGCGATCGACGATCGACCAAAATTGGCCTAGCGATCGACCGGTCGATTGCGATCGACTTGTTGACCATCCCTGGTCTAGAGTAGACATTTTCCTAATATGAGACCCTTATTGTCGTCTCAAAATGAGATCATACCATACATTAGAAGTCAGACCTAGTTGTGCTTTATAGAATGTGGACAATGAAGAAAAAAGTAATTTGGCAGAAGTTCCCATAACTGACATTTTATTTAATTCTCAGTTTCAAGATAATTCTGACAAAATGAATAAAGGGGACAGATACATTAATAAACCTCATGTTTTGTTTGAGTTGTTATCTGTTTTCAGAGCCAAATCGTTATACAAAATAAAAATGAGGTCTAATATTCGGCAGATCTATAACTAATCCTACATATTTCCAAAGATGAATTTTTTTTGTTACTTCCTCCTTTTTTATCCTTGATATATTGATCATCCTCCTACAATACTACATTTCAAACGCTTCTAACTCGCTAAATCCGAAAATGTGTTATGATCTTGAACCATGATTTGCTACTTTAGAGATTATTTCGGAAATTTTTGTAGGACATCAATGTAAGATCTTCAGCAATGCTTGCTGATCTTCGTTTTGATCTAGCTCCAAATGCAGATCTACGTAGTGTCTTTCATATTTTCCTAGTTTCCAGGGTATCCCATCATATATGTGAACTTTTATACAGTGGAGCATTGATCATTCCAGCTAATAGGTGACCGGGATAATTTGGATTAACCATATTTCGGATAACTGATCATTTTCGAAAAGAAAGATATTTAGGATTCATGATCGTAGTGTAACTTATAAGTAAATTTATTAATTTATTAGGAATACTTCTTCACAATCCCAGTAAAAGTACCTTAATATCTTTCGGTATTATTTAGGTTTTAGCAATTTGATGTACCTACTATTGTATATAATGTTACCCTTAATGTAACCAAAAAAAATTTATCTTCAATTAACAAAGATAAAATTTCGAATAACTTTGTGGAAACGCTAGATATCTCTGAAAGAATTTCTTAAAATTCCTTGACGTTTCTTGTCTGTCTTTTCTGTCTTCTTGAAGTTGTGGATTTCTTTTCTGATTGCACTTATAGATACCTATTCGCACTCCATGCAATATGGATAAAGTAAGGGATTTACCCAATTACCATTTTAGATATTATTCCATTAATTATATCATTATAGAGTGGTCATCGTCGATGTTCAGGTCCGTCATATCGTAAGAAAAGCCGTGGATTTTGGAAAATGTTTGCCGCTGTTGTTTCAACGTTTCGTTCACTTGGATGAAACAGGGATTTAGCCATGGAAGTAATTTTTCGTTAGAATGTAGTAAATGTAACTGATGCAAAATTTGTTTGAAAGGGTATGATTATATTATATACTTATCTTGTATACTGTGACACCCTCTAGATTATTGTAAATGTGGCACCCTCATATATAACATGAAGTATATAGATCCTCATGTATTATGTTAGAAGGCGGAAAGTGTATCTAAGGAATGACTTTGTACACTATTACAAATGTGTTGTTTGATGGGGTGGGAGATAGAAGTAAAGGCAACCTAACCAGGTCGTAACCTAATCTAACCTAATTTGCTACAGTAAAAATCTTTTGAAATTATTTTTTGATTCAAGGATGGCGCCACACGTAAAAGATCATAATCTCATTTAGAAATAATGTGGAACTCCATGATGGGTGCAAATTTGGGTACCATACTTACATTAATTATACAATATGGGTGTCTAAAGTATAAGTATACGTATGTATGTATAAATACATATGCGAAGAGATGCAGAATACTATGTAATACTTCCTCCATTAGAAATTATAAGAATTATAGAATTACATATGAATAAATTAAACCCAAAGTAAGTTTGATATTCTATATACAGATGCATCGCTTAGATATGGAGCAGCTTTCAACACATTTGATTGTGACTCTTTTTTGAATACTTATCAGTTAGAATTTGTTAATAATATTTAGTTCTGCTTCTAAAAAAGACAGCTAGTGTTACTTCATACAATTTATAAAGTTCGTAATATAAATTTGTTATTATTAAAATTTGAATAATAATAATTAATATATGTATAAAGTAGTAATAAAGTGCAATGATTAATTATTATAAAATAGAATGTTTTAGATGTT